CATCCAGTTTTCGATTTCACGACGGTTATGGAAGGCTGCAGCTCAGCACTTCTGTGGAGGCGGCATGGAAGGCGGGATTGACTGCACATCTCTTCGCCGCCTCCACGCCCAGCTGCTGAGCCTCGACCGGGGCAGCCGACTATCGGAGCTTCTGCTGACCATCGCTGCGGGAGCCTCGTGGCCGCGCACACGGCGCGCCGAGGCAGCGGCAGCTAAAGGAGTTTTTCTGGACCAGTCATGCCCCCGACGCGGCCAGGAGAAGGAGGATCAGTTTCATCGGATCTGGGGCTGCCCATGCAACGCGGGGGCCCCAGCCTACGAGCACTCGAACGACCTCATCCCCGAAGCCTACGCCAACTGGCAGACTGCTGAGTGTTTCTGGCTGCGAGGGCTTTTACCCGCCGAGTGGGCGGCTCTGCCGCCGCCGCCAGAAGAGGAGTGCGGGTCAGGTTCAGGTTTCGCCGACAACGACGGGGGCGTGCTGTGGCTCGGCAAGGGCACCCAACAGCAGCCCCTGTACCTGTTCGGGGACGCGAGTGGCGGCAGGCACTCCAGCGACACCAGGCTACGCCGAGTGGGCCTGGCCGTCGCCGCCATCAGCAGCTTCGACCCGCTCGAGGTGTCGGCCACTGCCACAGGGCCCCATGACGGGCGCCAGGCAGTCGGTCTCGAGAGGCGAGCTGAGGGCGCTGCTGCTTGCTGCGGAGTGCTCAGCAGGATTTGTTGTTTTCACCACCGACAATCAGTATGTTGCGTCAGGCTGGGCTGAGAAAAAGTATCTTCACCCCGTGGGCCCCGACGCTGACCTTTGGCACCGAGTAGGTGCGATCTTCAGGCACAGAGATCCAGCTTCATTTGTGGTGTTATTCGTCAACTCACATCTGGAGGCTGCAGGCATCAGGAAGTTCCCATTTGTGGATGATAATCGGCAACACGATTGCCGACGAGCTAGCTGGTGCCGCTGCGGAAAAAAGTCAGATTTCAGTCAATGATGTGTATCGAGCTGCGACATGGGAAAAGAAGGCGTTTCAGGTCCGATTACGCCTCCTGCGAGCCACCATCGACACGCTCGAAAAGGAGAAGGAGTTGCGGGGGCATGGCCCCAGGGAAAAGAATGAGTCCCCTCCCGTCCCTCCTCCTGCTCCTCCTGTTGTGCAAGTGTTTTCCATCACCCATCGCCTCGCAGAGTGCGGGCGACGATGTCTTGTGTGCTGCAGCTCTGCCACGATTCCTCGTCAAGCCCTGTGGAGAGACACACCGTGCTTCCAGCCAACGTTTATTAACGGGGAAGTTTTCGGGGTGCCGTCGGGGGTTCAGCTGCATTTAGCGGGTGGGTGGGTGCGTGAAACACACATGATGCGTCTGCATAGTACCCTTAAGCTTTGGTTTTGTTCTAGCTGCGGGTATTTTGCCAGTCAGGTGATCAGAGGTCTTGGGCAGCCCTGCCCCAGGACCCCGAACTCCAACCGAGCTGAGTATTTAGCCAGGATCCACAGAGGGCAATGGCCCAAGGTCCTGAGTCGGGCCGAGCTCGCTCGTCGGGCTTCGTAGTTTCGGGATCCGCTTCGCGACTGGTCTCACTCACTCACTCCTCCCTCCTCCCCCTCCTTGCCTCTGCTCTCGGCACACCCCTCACACGCTTCGTAGCCCCATAGGGGGCTCCACCGAAGGCCCCATGGCTGCCGTCCGCATGCGTCCCGCACACCCATTTCGGCACACCCCTCACACGTTTCGTGGCCCCACAGGGAGCTCCACCGAAGGCCCCAGTGCTCTGCGTCCCGCATGCGTCCCCACACCCACTGCCGTCCGCATGCGTCCCGCACACCCATTTCGGCACACCCCTCACACGTTTCGTGGCCCCATAGGGAGCTCCACCGAAGGCCCCATGGCTGCCGTCCGCATGCGTCCCGCACACCCATTTCGGCACACCCCTCACACGTTTCGTGGCCCCACAGGGAGCTCCACCGAAGGCCCCAGTGGCTGCCGTCCGCATGCGTCCCGCACACCCATTTCGGCACACCCCTCACACGTTTCGTGGCCCCACAGGGAGCTCCACCGAAGGCCCCAGTGCTGCCGTCCGCATGCGTCCCGCACACCCATTTCGGCACACCCCTCACACGTTTCGTGGCCCCATAGGGAGCTCCACCGAAGGCCCCATGGCTGCCGTCCGCATGCGTCCCGCACACCCATTTCGGCACACCCCTCACACGTTTCGTGGCCCCACAGGGAGCTCCACCGAAGGCCCCATGCTGCCGTCCGCATGCGTCCCGCACACCCATTTCGGCACACCCCTCACACGTTTCGTGGCCCCATAGGGAGCTCCACCGAAGGCCCCATGGCTGCCGTCCGCATGCGTCCCGCACACCCATTTCGGCACACCCCTCACACGTTTCGTGGCCCCACAGGGAGCTCCACCGAAGGCCCCAGTGCTGCCGTCCGCATGCGTCCCGCACACCCATTTCGGCACACCCCTCACACGTTTCGTGGCCCCATAGGGAGCTCCACCGAAGGCCCCATGGCTGCCGTCCGCATGCGTCCCGCACACCCATTTCGGCACACCCCTCACACGTTTCGTGGCCCCACAGGGAGCTCCACCGAAGGCCCCAGTGCTGCCGTCCGCATGCGTCCCGCACACCCATTTCGGCACACCCCTCACACGTTTCGTGGCCCCACAGGGAGCTCCACCGAAGGCCCCAGTGGCTGCCGTCCGCATGCGTCCCGCACACCCATTTCGGCACACCCCTCACACGTTTCGTGGCCCCACAGGGAGCTCCACCGAAGGCCCCAGTGCTGCCGTCCGCATGCGTCCCGCACACCCATTTCGGCACACCCCTCACACGTTTCGTGGCCCCATAGGGAGCTCCACCGAAGGCCCCATGGCTGCCGTCCGCATGCGTCCCGCACACCCATTTCGGCACACCCCTCACACGTTTCGTGGCCCCACAGGGAGCTCCACCGAAGGCCCCAGTGCTGCCGTCCGCATGCGTCCCGCACACCAGGTGTGTGGCGTGCCGACATGGGCGTCGCGGCGCGCGGGCGCTGCCGTCGGGGTTCCCAGGGAAGCCCCCTGCAGAGGCGACGCTCAGAGTCACGAGTACCGAGAGTCACGCAGACCCAAACTGTTCACAGTCGTATACATACATTTACACTGGGCGTATCCATGCACGCATTCATGCGAATAGAATCAATCGCGCGCAGATTCATTCATAATCAGACTCGCTCGCGATCCGACTCGCACGCGCTCAAGCTTTCATATTCGGACCTATCGTCTTCGTTCGTGTTGTGTACACTGCCACGCATTTCGGCACACCCCTCATACGGCTCGTGGCCCCATAGGGAGCGCCACCGAAGAAGATATTCACAATTGCGGTACTCTCAACTGCATATGGTTGGGTCCTTCGCCCGGCTAATTTTTGTATTTTTCTGGTGTTCGAAATTCTTTCTGGTGGTCAAGGCTAGAGTAGGTTGGAACATCATAACAGTAGAGGCCAGGCCGAAAAAAAAACCTTCCGCAAGAAACCCAACCGTGAGACTCCAAGATGTCCACTGATTTCTGGCGTGGGAGAACCATCAAAACCAAGAAACAAAGGGCACCCCGGAGACAGGCAGGGTGTTTCTTGGCATGTCCTCAACTGTATCCTACACTCTCGTGAGATACAGCCGGACCTAGGACCTATAGGGACAGCAAAGAGGCCTGCAAGAGCGTGAGGTCCTCCGCCCGCCAGAAGGAGGAGCCTTCGAGGATACCCTCCCCCAGGATGCACGTTTTGCGTCGGCGGCTAGGCAAGGCAGCTGCGCTGGCGGAGGGCTACCTAAACGGGGCTACCGTTGTAGCGAACGGTGCCGCCGTGCAGGGAGGGTGGGAAAAGCAGAGGCAGCGGCCGAACGAGGGGGCGGAAGGAGCGAGCCGCTCGGGGGGACGGGTCACGCCCCAAGCGTGTGGCGCCGCCGGCCCGGCCAGCGGGCCCGCGGCCCCCAGGATGCACGCGAACATCCATCAGACACGAAGAACAGGGTACCCTTAGGTCGGGCATGTCCCCCTACAGGCATACTTAGACGAACAATGAAACATAATCAAACAAATGCCCCCAAATGGTAAAACATAGTCGAAACATCGTCCCCAAACTATGTTTTGGCAATTTTTGAATATTCCTCCTGTAGAGGCCCGACTTAAGGGTACCCTCCCCGAACCGTCCTCGATCTTAGACCTCGGCCCGACTGTATGGGCGATCCATGGGCGACCACCAGGCGTCGAGGCGCCCCTCCCCTCTGTTGTAGCCAGAGGGAGGAGGAGGCGGAGGAGGAGGCGGAGGAGGAGGCGGAGGAGGCGGAGGAGGAGGAGGCGGAGGAGGAGGAGGAGGAGGAGGAGGAGGCGGAGGAGGAGGAGGAGGAGGAGGAGGAGGAGGAGGAGGAGGGAGGAGGAGGAGGAGGAGGAGGAGGAGGAGGAAGAGGAGGAGGAGGCGGGGAGGCGGAGGAGGCGGAGGAGGAGGAGGAGGAGGCGGAGGCGGAGGAGGAGGAGGCGGAGGAGGAGGAGGAGAGGAGGAGGGGCGGGAGGGAGGAGGAGGAGGAGGAGGCGGAGGAGGCGGAGGAGGAGGAGGGGAGGAGGAGGAGGAGGAGGGGCGGGAGGAGGAGGAGGAGGAGGAGGAGGAGGAGGAGGAGGCGGCCTTCGTGCCATAGTCTCGCCATCGCTCGGACGTCATTACCCATGCATTTTTCGATGACTTGCGTGCATTTTTGTCGCAAGATGGCCTAGGATCCTCCTCGATAGTCCTGGCCGAGAAACGAAGGCACACGTCCGAGCGATGCCAGGGCCATAGTTCGGCTCTCTGACGGCCGTTCGAGAGGATCGGAGCACCCATGGAACGCTCGCGGCGAGGCGCCGCTGCTGGAGAGCAACCCTGGGGCGGAAGACCGAGGAGAACGTCCAGAAGCCGCCAGCCTCAAACCCGTCCAGACCCCCCCCCCCAAGGCTGTCCCCCCCCCCTGTCGTTGCCCCTGGCCTGCGGGCAATGGACGAGCGCAGCCTGGCGGCCTGCGCCTCCAGCGTGGCCACGTCGTCCGGCGACGCGGGTGGCTCCGGCCGCGCGGGGCTGCCCGGGCTGGGCTCCTGTGGCGGGCAAGAGGGGGGCGTCCCAGAGGGGGGGGGCGCATTTCATGGCCAGCGGCACGCGCGCGGCCCAGGGGGCGGCCAGGGACGCATTGCAAGAAGAGGAAGCGCCGTGAAATCTGGGGAGGTATCCTGGCCCCCGCCATGACGTCCCCCCCCCCCTCGTCATCACCCCCCCTCTTTTCGGGGATGGACAGACCTCCCTTTAGCAAAACGTGGTTTAGTGAACACGACCTGAGGCCCAAACCTGGCGGGCGCAAGCCCGAAAAATGACGGCCGCGGCGCCCTCTCGAGAACCGAAAACGGACAATTCACTAATCGACGTGTCACTTTTGGGGGTTCTGTCCCGCCCCCGATCTTTGCCGCCCCCGACCTGCGGCGGGCCCTGCGGGCGAGGCGGCGGCCCGCCGGGGCGGTCGTCGCGGCGGCGGCCGCCCACCAGCTGGGCGACGCTGCCGCAGCAGTGGCTCAGAGACGACCCCATGGCGCCCGCGCCGCGGCCCGAGGGCCCCCGCGGCGGCTGCGCGCGGTGGGCGGAGGAGGCGGCGGCCCTGTCTCGGGGGGGCTCTCTGGGCCTCCTCTCACGGGAGGCTCCCCTTCGCCGCGGCTCGATGGAAATGCGCACGGATCCCCGCCCACATGTCAGGGCCTGCATGGGCGTGAAGTGGACGCCCGTGTAGGCCTCGGGGGGGGCCCAGGGGCACAGCAGGAAACGCACCCAGATCCCAGGCCTTCCCGGTATGTTTCCGCAGTTGCTGGAGTTTCGCCTTCCCCTCCCCCCCCCCATCACGCAGATTTTCTTTGATTTTCCTGGGAGTCGCCGATTGATTGTGCCTGTGTGTTTTTCCCCTCCTGACCCGAACCGCGCCGAGAGACAGGTCAGCGTGGACCCCTGGAGGGAGCCCATGACCGATCTTCAGCGGATGTTCCCAGATAGCTCGTAGAGCTCAGAGGTTTGCAGATTAACCTCAGTCAGTTCATAAGAACCCCCAGGGTTATCCGTAGCACCGCACCGATATTAATAAACTCCAGCGGAGGATTGCAGCCGAACGATAACCTTAGCACCGCGCCAAACAGTACACAACAAATCATCAAACTCCCCCCGCTACCGCACCTTAATATTCTCCTCCTCCTCCTCCTCCTCATCACAATCATAATCATCATCACCACCATCAGCATCGTCATCGTCATCGTCACCATCATCGTCAACATCACCATCACCATCATCACCATCACCATGATCATCATCATCATCATCATCATCATCATCATCATCATCATCATCATCATCATTATCATCATCATCACCATCATCATAATCGTCATCGCCATCATCATCATCCTCCTCCTCCTCCTGCTGACGGCGGGTGCTGGGATAACGCTTCCCAACGCGGGAAGTTTTATCCTTTGGCCAAAAGGGGGGGCTTATTGACTACCTGGCGGCAAGGACCTCCCAGGAGGCCAGCAACTGCGAAAGCAAGGCCAAGGGGAGCGGTACAGTCGGGCCCCCAGGCCGGAAAAACAGCCCTCAAGAACACGAGACTCTCCGCCAGCCCAAACACACAGAACATCCGAGGGTGCCCTCCCCCAGGGTGCACACAAGACCATCCAAGAAGCAGGAAACACATTAGTGCACCCTCCCCAGACCGGCCTCGATCTTATACCTCGGTCCAACTGTATCGGTACCTCCCTCTCCTCTGAACCTCTCCCCCCTGCAGATCTGCAACTCCCGACCACCTCCCCAGGGGCAGTTCGTCGTCCCGGATCCACTGCGGATGGTCCTGTATATGGGGCCCGGGGAGGAGTGGCGGGCTTGCTTTCCACCGCCACCACCATAAGTAGGAGGGGGAGGGCGTCCTCCTCCTCCTCCTCCTCCTCCTCCTCCTCCTCCTCCTCCTCCTCCTCCTCCCTTCCTCCTCATCCTCCACCTCTTTCCCCCCTCAAACTTATGGTGGTGGTGGTGGTGGAAAAAACCCATCAAGGAGGGGCCCGGAGGCCGGCATCGAAGAACACCGCCGGGAAAGAACCCAAACAGATCGCTGGAGATCTGGCTCCCCGTGCCCTCCTTCGCGGACGTTGGCGGCGGCAGCGGCGGCTAGAGAGCAGAAAGTCCCCCCCAAGAAGCACCCCGATGAGCGTTTTCTTATTCGGCGTTTCGACATTGGGCGGAAGGGGGGGGGGTCTGGCTCCGGACCTCTGCTTAGTGCGACTGTTTGCAACAGTGCGTGCTGTGGGGGAGACTCCACCTGCTCGAAACAGGCGCCAAAAACAGCCAAGATCTACTCAACGGGGGAAGGGGAGGGGGGGAGTGAAGGCCCGCGCCGATCGGCAAAACAATGAACAAGACAACGATCACGGGGGAATCGAACAAGGCGGGGGCTGTTTAAGAAACGTCCAGGGCCGTTTCGTCAACGCAACGTATCGGGGTCGGGGGGCGACGACCGACCGACGCTGCGCCTCCCGGTGCCACAGCAGCGCGAGGCAGACCCGCGGCAGCCCCTGCGCGGCCGCGAGGTGGAGGGCCGTGCGGCTGCTGTCGTCGCGCTGGTTGACGCACGCGCCTGGGGCCGCGGCGAGCCGGGGCGCCACGACGGGGGGGTGGTGCAATAGATCTGGTGCAATAATTGCAGTAGATTTGGGCCGTGCAATACATTTCGGGGCGCAGATGTATTGCCATATTGTCGCGTGCAATGCGTTGCTTGCAATTCTGTGCAATACAATTCTCTGGCGCAATACATTTGCAATGCACTTGCCCAACATTTCTTGCGCCACCCCCCTTCAGCTGGACCTCCTTGTGGACAACCCAATGCCAGGTGACCCGGTGATCCGGTGAGGGCCTTCAGGGACGAAGGCAGGACGAGCATAACATCGGGCGAGGACACCCGTCGGCCGGAAGAAGTCAGGAAGCACATCAAGCAGGAAGGCGGCCGAGGTAGATGGGATTCAGGCCCTCCCAGAGAACAGCAGAACACAGCAAGGGCAGAGCGATCCTTGAGACGAGAAGGCGCTTGAAGCAAGATTGGGATCCGGCATTCCCAAAATACAGTCGGGGCGTTGACCTAAGGAACCCTAAATAAGGAACGAGGCCCCTTTTGTCCATAAGTTAAACTTCGATTTCCCATCGAAAACATAAGGACACCCTGAGGCAAGCTGTGAAACAATTAAGGAACACGGAGCCCCTCCACAACGAAAAGGGTTCCTTCTTCAGGGCCCTGACTGTACTGGCTTTCAACGACCGACGGAAAAGCCATGGCAAGTCTGGAGAATCTCAGCGCCCCTCTCACGGGGACCCCACCCACGGGTGGTCCCAGCGAGCCTCCTAGTGCTCCCGATGTGGGCAACGCTGCAGTGCCAGAAAGAGGCCCCAAAGTGGCAACATTCGGCAACCTTCCAAAATACCCACTAGTGAGTACTCAAAATCCTTTATTAATCGTTCCCCGGGTCTGGTTTTTTAAAGCGCCCTTTTTGTAACTGGGGGGATCCGGTTTAGTAGGACGCTTTCTTTGGATTGGAGCTCAGGGGGTCCGGATTGTATTACGGCGCCCCGTCGAAGAGGGGGTCCAGACCATTAGGTCGCATTTGGAGGGGGGCCCGGTTCTTCAGGGGGTCGATGAATAAGGGATTTGGAGTAACACCGCCCATGTTCAAGGGCTCTTGCCAGAGCCCCCTCCCCCCAGCGAGAGCACGGGCTGACCAGCACAAGCGTTGCTGGCGCAGGGCCAGAGGTGCAGAGGGGTTCCGAAGCACAGTCGGGCCGCTGAAAGAAGGAACGCTAGATGAGGAACGAAGCCCCTTCTTGGCCCTGTACGCGCCTCCGTGCCCCAGGAGGGCAAGAGGAAAAGGAACATCGAGCCTTATGTCGGGCCTGTCCCCCTGTAGGGGGATTTTCGACGAAAGTCCCCCTACAGGGGTAGTATTTATTGATCTGTTTGGAATATTTTTGGGGTATTTTTATTGTTTCGTCGAAAATCCCCTGTAGGGTGACACGCCCGACATAAATCGAGCTCCTTCCGAACCCAAACTGATCCTTTTTTCAGCGTCTTGACTCTACCCACCACGGCGCCGCTGCGGCCAGAGGGCCCGCGGGCTACCCGCCGCCGCCGCCGCCGCTCTCGCCGCCGCTGTGGCCGCCGCCGCTCCCGCCGCGCCGCCGCCGCCGCTCGGGCGGCGAGGCGCGGAGATTGGGAAGGAGGAGGAGGAGGAGGGGGAGGAGGAGGAGGAGGAGGAGGAGGAGGAGGAGGAGTATCCTAGACTATCCTCCCGACGACGATGTCGATCAGGAGGAGGAGGAGGAGGAGGAGGAGGAGGAGGAGGAGGAGGAGGAGGAGGAGGAGGAGGAGGGGGTCCGTAGCCATTTTGGCTCAAGTAAACCATTTCTCGAGGTGGCTTACAGCGAGCTAACCGCACGGGGGAGGCACCCCCGCCAGTGAACCCGCTGCTTTTCTACAGCAGCACGTCTTTCTTATACTCTGTGCATCCCTGTCCCCTTTCGCTCCACAGATGGCCCGCAATGTCGGCGGCAAGGCTTGGTCTACCACGTGGACCTGCTGCAACAAGCATTGCGGTTTCCCTCGCAACTTTTCATGGAGGACCACGTGCTGGGCGTGCGAGGCGGCTAAGCCTGCGGGCCCTGCTGATCGCCAGCCTCGTCTTCCTTCTGGTGCTTGGGTACGTCCTCGTCGCCTTCAACCGCAAGGAGGTGCTGCTGGTGGAGCTGGAGGCGGCGGTGGCGACAAGCTCTCCCCAGAGCGCAAGGCCGCGCTGCTCGCCATGTCGGAGGAGCATTTCGAGGCCTGCAGCATCTGGTTGTCGCCAGGTTTGAAGAGCCATCTTCAAGGGCTTCGCGCGGCGCAGCAGGGCGATCCGCTTGCAGTCAGTCGCCAAGCGAAGCAGCAACATGACTCCCTCAAAGATAAAGTGCAGAAGGCGAAGCAGGCATGGGAGCGCTCTCAGGATGTGCTGTCCAAGCAGCTGCGCAAGACCGCCGAGCTGCACTCGAAGTTCACGGAGCTCGAGGCCCAGGAGATCGAGGCAGCACGCAAGGCCGCCAACGCCTACACCGAGCTGCGGAGAGCAGGCCGTCCTGAACCTGCTGACCCTGCTGCTCTTCTTGTGGCACGGCTGTCTGAGTTGGGCGTCGATCCTGCTGTCGTGGACACTATCCAGAATGTGGCCGAAGCGCACCACAAAGCTAAAGAAGAAGAGAAGAAGCGTGAGGCAGCCCAGGCAGCTGAACGTCAGGCTGCCCAAGCTCCTCCTGCTGGCGAGTCTGCTCCGGGTGCTGCTGGAGGGGATGGCGACGACGTCGACATGGACGGGGCCGTCAACTTCCCCAAGAGCAGCGACTGGCTGGACAAGCTGGTCTCTAGTGAAGGTGGCGTCTCCCGAACGCAGGTGGAGGCTGCGCTCGACGATGCTGCATCCGCATACAAGAAATCAGGGACGGGGTAGCCGCAGCGCGCCTCGCCACGGGCCGAAGGCCCCAAGTTTTTGGAAAATAATCTCTGCCAGTGTCACTGGTCGCTCTGGGCTTGACATTTTCCTCTCCTCCCCTTCCGCGTTGCAGGCTCATCTTGTCGGTGCGCAGGAGACGCGGGTGGTCGAGGTTGAAGCCATGGAGCACAAACTCAGGAGACAAGGGTGGAGAGGTAAGTATTCATCCGCTGTGGCCACGAGTGGCGGTGGCTTGTCGGGTGGTACTCTTCTTGCTGTTCCAAAGCATGTGGGCCTGGCGCAGGTTGAATCTACCCCCATTGAGTTGCAGAAGGGGAGGGTCATGATCATGCATGTGGGGGGACTCTTTCCTGGAGGTTTCCCCGCGTGTACTCTCTATCTGCGCAATTCCATCGGTCTTGCCCCCGCCAACTGGGACCTCCTCTGTCGGTTGGGGGCGCAGCTCAAGATGGCTAACATGCCTTATATCGTCATGGGCGAATTTAACTTGGAGCCTGATGTGCTGCTGCACTCGGGCTGGATTGATGCAGTTGATGGCGTTGCGATCCATGCGTCTGCTGGCACCTGCACCCCCGCTAATCGTGTTATAGATTTCTTTGTGGCGTCGCAGGCTTTGTCCTCGGTCGCCAAGGTGTCGCTGGTGAACGACGTTGCCATCGCGCCTCGCACGCCTGTCCAGTTGAGCGTTCGTAGCCTCTCCAAGCTCCCGCAGGTCAGGATGGCCAAGGTGCCTCGCAGGTTTCCTCGTGAGTTGCCCATTGGTTGTCGTCAAGAACCGCGTCCTGCCAGGCGGGGGCAAGCTGCCCGCGCCATGGAAGGATCATCTCTGAATGCCTCCTGGAAAGTTTTTGTTTCGGCCGCTGAATTGGAGTGGATTGAAGGCTTTCAGATTCCTAAAGATCTCTCTAGAGCCTACTTGGGAAGAGCTGGGGAGGTCCGAGTGGGGTGGCATCGTCCTGCGCGTCCTGCTCCCGTTCCCTTTCCAAAAAGTTGTGCCCCCAAGCTGTCTGGTGGCGTGCTCTGGCCCTGGTCCTCAAGAGCTTCACGAGGCCCCAGAATGGTGCTCAGTTCGCCCAGTCCATGAAGCGTGCTAGGTACCTCCAGAGCTTGCCCGATGCGCCCACCTCGGACTTGGCTGTCGCCTTCCTGAGGGCCCCGGACCGCATCCGTGCATTGGATTTCGTGGTCGTCGATTATATTGCCAGCGTTGCAGCCGTGCGCGCCGAGCGCTTGCACAAGCAGGTTTCCCAGCTGAAGAATGTCAACTGGGACAGATGGGTCAAAACCCACTCAGTGGGAGGTGCGGCTGCCCTGTTTAAGTATGTGTAATTGCCTGACCCTTGGCAACCATCCACCCTCGACTCCTACACCCTCCGACCCAACGCCAGCATGGGGGAAATGGATGTTTTGGAGAAGGAGTGGAGTGATTGGTGGCAGGCGGGAAAATCGCAGCCCCCCCCCTCGAGTGGCCCGAAGATTTAGGGGTCAGGCCGCCGCCACCTTCTACGCAAGAACTCAAGAAGGTTTTAATGACCTTTCCTGCAGGCACAGGCTGCGGCTATGATCAGATCCCGCCTAGGATACTCTTGCACCTTCCTGAGGCGGCGCTGCAGCTGCTGTGTGACATCATTGCCAATATTGCAGACTCTGTGGAATGGCTTCCATTTACCACTAAGATTGTGTTTACATTGAAGCGTCTTGGCGGTGTACGTCCACTTGGCTTGTTGCGTTGCCTTTGTCGTATCCAAGCACGATTGCGTAGACCTCTGATTGCTCAGCGGCAGAAGCGCAACTTCCGCAGTTTCTGGTGGGGCACGAAGGGCAAGAGTGCTGACATGTGCGTGTACATTCAAGCTGTATGGGCTGAATATTATCAGGCGAACGGATTATCTTCTGCCACTCTGCGTCTTGATTTAAAGAAGGCCTTCGAGCTGGTCAAGCACCATCATTTGCTTGCTGCTGCGAAGGCCACAGGTTTTCCGCTTTGGCAACTGAAGTTATTAGTGCTCGTTTATCGCTCGCCTCGTTTACTGGGCCTCCACGGGATCGTCGGCAATTTCGTGGTCGCCGAAACGACGATTATTCCAGGTTGTGGTTTCGCCACCGC